ACGATGTAGGTATGAGACAATAGGCTTGGTCACTCTTGTGAATACCCAAGGGGCGGTGTGATTCCGAAGGGAAGAACCTTCCATTGGTAATGTTTCCCGTCTAGGATAAATCTTAGATATTTCCTTGAGTTGGGATGAATCGGAATGTGTAGATATGCGTCTTGCAAATCTATGCTGGCCATGTAATCTTTGGGACGAATTAAATGCCGAAGTTGCGGTAAATGTATCATGCGAAACGTTGGTGGTTTGCATAGATATTCTCTGTTGAAGATGCTCATGTTGTATATGAGACGAAACTTCTCCTTGGAGTTTTTCTTCGGCACTAGGAAAACTGGGGAGTAGAAACCTGGTACGATGTTTCGTTGATCCAGAACTTCTAAGGCCTGTTTGTTTAGCAGAGTAAGTACTGTTTCTCTTAACATAGGTAGTTGTGCCGGTTGAACCCTGTGGGGTTGACTGTTAACGGAGGCTTGGCCTTGAGTTGTATTAGATATCCGTGCTGTAGGATGTTGGATGCATATGGATCTTGTAGCATTCCCCAGTTTTCCCAGTGTAGCTGAAGGCGTCCACCCACTTGAGACGGTTGTACTGGAACGGCTGGGGGTGGAAGACTCCAGTCGTTCTGAACCTGAATTTCATCGTCTAAATCCACGGGCACCTCTGGATGATCTGCCTCTAGCTGATCCTCCCTAAATTTGTTGTATGGGCTGAAAAGAATCCTTGGGATCTTTAGCTGCAGCTAATTTCTTGTCCCGTGCTTTCTGTAGCCCCGAAAACTTAGACTTGCCTGAGTATCTCTGTGTTGACTGTTTAATGATGTTCGCTAAGGTATCTATGGATCTGATCATAAGAACCTCTCTCGAGTCTTTAGATACTTCTTTGGAGACCTTGTCTATGTTGCCACCAAACAGTAAGGGCGATGACCATGGAGCTGTGTATAGAGATTCTGTAAATTGCTTATCCCAAGAGCAGGAGGCTAGTAAGCCTTGCCGATGAGCCATGGTAGTAGTTTCAGTAAGCGCTGACAGGTGCTCTGTAAGAAATTGGTGGTCTCTTTTCTGCATGAGTAGAGCTGAGTAGATCATTCTATCTTCCTCCTCTGTAGAATTCTTGAACTTGGTGATGAGAGTTTCATTAATCGTTCTAGATCTATTCAATCCAAAGAACATTCTCCTGGCGATGGTATCTAGTTGAGCGAATTTGCGATCGTCTACTTTGTAACTTCTGGACTTGGCATGGCTGATTAATTTAAAGTTGTCATCAATATCCTGGGCCTTGAAAAAGGGGTCCATATTGTGTCCAGCAAATTTCTTGGCATTGAAGATCGGGAAATGTGTAGATTGGACTTTCGAAGATTTGGAACAGGCTGTATCCAGATTAGCTGGTACCGCTGCAATCGGGTCAATAGGAGGTAAGGTGATATTGTCTACATCATCATCCTTCATCAGGTAAGTCTGAGTTGAATTCTCGTTCTTCGATGGGGAAGCAAGTTGTAACTCATTCACCATCCAGTATCTAATCTCAGCATCTGAGAAAATGATACCTTCTTCCTCTGATGTAGGGTCACATGTCGGAGTCCTAGATCTGTAGGAAGATCTATGAGAGGACTGTGGTGAACGGACTGACGAGTGGCTAGTGTAAGGAGACCTTGCAGGAGACATCCTCGTCGAACGCTGGGGACTTCGCGAAGCTCTTCTAAATCTTCTGGGCGAGGTAGATATCGAGCCACTTAGCCTTCGCGACCTTCGCGAATGTATCGAGTCAGTGTCCGAATCGACATATGAGCGCTTGCTTCACGAACAACCTCTGTGTTCTACAGGGTGTGGGCTCGGCGAAGCGCTCCTTCTTCGCGATGTCCCTCGCAACTGGATCGGCTCTAGCTCCTTCGCGGAGGCAGCCTGGGACTTCCTTTGCGAAGTGATCGCTACAGGCTGGGTTGCCCTTGGCCAGGCTGTTTGTGGGCTCTGGGGCCCTCACTGCCGAAGCCAAAGGCGGGCTCTGGGGCCCTGTATGACTTATTAAGTGTTGGGCTCTGGGGCCCGTGGCTCTGGGGCCTCTGTAAACCGTAACGGTCCTCCATCAGTCTCGTGATTTGGTTAACCAGGTCGTCTGGGACAGTCTGCGCTGGCGTTGAGGGTGGCCTCTCTGTGACAGTGACGGGACCCTCAATCATAAACTCAGGCGTCAGCGTAGGCATCTCTGGTTGCGTGTTGATCTGTGCTGTAGTGACGGTAGCAGATACTGGACGTTTCTTATGACGTACATCTGGAATGATAATCGGAATGTCATCATCATATCAACATAATTCTGAGACAGGTAGAACATCGGAGGCAAAATTATTTGTAGCTTTCGTAGATTTCCCTTTTGACGAAGCTGTGGACCTGGGGGTTCGAAGCGTACGCTGCGATGATGTGGACGCTTTCCTAGTCTTAGACTGTGAAGACGGAATGTCTTGAGATGCAGGTCACTTCTTGGACATAGCGGACTGCGTCCCACGCTTATCCCCCGAGGGAAACTCCGGCAGGCCACCAGCGGTGGCGGTCGATCAGTCAACAGTTGACAGGGTATAATAGCTTCCGATCTATTAGCCATGACTGAAGATTGTTTATGAAGATTTATCTGCCTTCCGTCTCAAAGCGGAACATAAATATTTATCAAAGGCAGAAATTGGTAAATTAATACATAATTTACAACGAGAAACAATAGAACATGGAGTAATGCAACTAGGGCATTTTAAATGTGGATCGGTAGCGAATAACGTAGTTTACAACCTGTGCAGATTCTCATTAACGTAAACTGCTGAACAAACACGGTGAACCGTGAATAAAACAGCAGAAACACGACTAATAATCAATGCAAGTTGAATAAGGATACTAGTTACACCTCTATAACTGAATATAAGAGGTACTAAACTAAATATAAATAAAGGATATAGTGTGTTGGGAGACACAGGTGCTCTCACGTCCAGCTCACTGGGCGAAGAAGGAGAGAGTGAGGCACATGGGTGGAGGTGGTGCCCTCGTTCCCGCGCTTGTGGAAGGGAGGTAACTCGTGGTGAGTACTAATTAGTGATTTTTTAATTGAAGGGAACTTCAATTGGGAGATACACGTGTTCCACTATGTTCGCAAGAAGAAGAAGACAAGCAATAAGCATGAGTCAGGATAAGGAAAAATTATATAATATACTTCCCATCAAAAGTTTAGACTCACTAGTGTAAATGCAGCCACTTACTTCAGGCAACTGTTCTAAACTAAATTTTGCAAAATATTCCATACTGTTTAAAGGTACTGTTTACACATGAACTGATGTATTGTAAAACAAATTTGTAACCATGAAAAGATTATTGTCATGAGTTTAATAAATGATAAAAATCAGTGAAAATTGGAGAATTTGTAAGAAAACTGCAGCAAAACGCAGTTGTTCACATGTACGATATTTGCACATGCTTTAGAGCAATTTTGATGCATGATCCTTGTGCAATTCATCTGCATAAGGTTTGCAGTTGGTTACCCCAAGTTAGTGGAGAAATCAATCTTCGATGTTACCTATATACAGTCAAATCCCGATGAGTCGAATCGCTGGGGACCAAGTAATAAATTCGACTTATCGATGTATTCGACACATAGGTATGTCTATGAGGGTAGAAAAAAAGATGATCCAGTCCTAATTCCTCCGCCTAAGCATCTGTTTATCTAATGATTTCCATATCACTAATAGGGACATCTTATCAGTTCCAGTCTGATTAGCACAGACAGTGATTTCCGTAAAATCACTAATCTGCCTTTTGAACTTACCCGTCAATGGCGGAAAGGTGTGAGCTGCGCTGGTTTGTTAATTGGATCAGTTTGCTACACCAATCAACTTCTCATTGACTGACTTCGGCTTATGTATACAAGATTGCTGTTGTTTGAATCTCATGGGACCAAATTTCTTTCTCTAGTCATCGTGTGTATTTATGAGACGAATTTGTGTAACCGGTATTCAAATGATGACAACTATAACAGGGAATGGTTGGGACTGACAGGTACTTCGAGTTATGCATAATATTCGAGACACCGGCATTCGACTCATCGGGATTTGACTGTATATAGATAACATATAGTGAGTGTTTTAAGTGAGCCTAAACTTTTGATGGGAAGTATATATACATTATATGCAACATTTTAAATTCTGGTGTATATACATTAAGGCAATTGATGTATTGCAATTGTTGAGTCTCTGATAGCAATTAATCGATGGTAGAAACGAAACACTATCGATGCATCGATAGTATGTGTGACTATCAATACCGGTAGTTTAGTAATTGACTTCCGTTGATAAATGCGCAGCACAAAATACATTAAGTACCAGATTCATTCACTTTTATTTTGAGTTATCCATCCCCTGTTACCTCTTAAACAAACTTGATCTGGGTTTCAAGTTTCTTGTCAGTTGTTAAAAGAGACTGAAAGTACGTCAGCTTGTTTTTATTTCATATAAACTCTACATTCATTTGGGAAATGACTTCAAATAAGACAATTCAAGGAGAAAAAAACCTTATTGCAATAATATATTGCAATAGTTGGTCGCAATAGACTATCGCTATCTCACTAGTATGTTGCAACAGATTATTGCTATCACAATAGTTGTCTCTCCCTCAATAGTAACCATCACAATACGTTTAAAGCAGCAATTTATTTGGTTCTGAAAAATCATGTAAATTTTCATCTTATAAACATATAAAGTCTACATAAGCATGTGTGATAAGTGACAAATCACAAAATTCATAAGTTGGCCATGAGATGCAGGCACTACACATCTGATACATTGGTGGACCACATGATCACAGAATTGGTCCTCACAAACCTAGAAACATAATTGGAACGAACCTACATTTAAACCCACAATCAATTGTTTCTGGCGGAACCAAGGGACACAACTCTGCATAAATTTAGGAGCCTCAGGTGACTGGACCCCCATGGCCAGCAGATGACCCCGTCCAGGTGGTAGATGTACGTACCTTATTCGGAAGTTTTGCGCCATCTGTGGGGTGTAGGGAGGGGGGGCAACTCCTCTCATTCCCATCTGCTGCAAAATGGACATTTGATCATGTTAGTTTTTAGATCATGTTGAGTGAATCATGTTTCATTCTATAATTATGTAAGTTGTTTTTTTAATTTACAGGTTTTTCTTAATAAAATTACAAAATGAAACATACATAAGTAGCAGCCATAATATTTCCAAGTCCCATGTTGAGATTCGAACCATGGACGTTCTGATTTGAAGTCAGACGCCTTGTCCACATGACCAAAGAGGTTAACCCCGTCAGCAAGCTGACAAGATAAAGATGTCATCTGCGGGATGACTCCATGCCCTGCTACACTGACATGGTAAGGATGTCATCTACGGGATGACTCCACACCCTGCTACACTGACAAGGTAAGGATGTCATCAGTGGGATGACTCCACACACCTTGCTACACTGACAAGGTAAGGATGTCATCTGTGGGATGACTCCACACACCTTGCTACACTGACAAGGTAAGGATGTCATCAGTGGGATGACTCCACACACCTTGCTACACTGACAAGGTAAGGATGTCATCTGTGGGATGACTCCACACCCTGCTACACTGACAAGGTAAGGATGTCATCAGTGGGATGACTCCACACCCTGCTACACTGACAAGGTAAGGATGTCATCTGTGGGATGACTCCACACCCTGCTACACTGACATGGTAAGGATGTCATCTGTGGGATGACTCCACACACCCTGCTACACTGACAAGGTAAGGATGTCATCTGTGGGATGACTCCACACACCTTGCTACACTGACATGGTAAGGATGTCATCAGTGGGATGACTCCACACACCTTGCTACACTGACAAGGTAAGGATGTCATCTGTGGGATGACTCCACACCCTGCTACACTGACAAGGTAAGGATGTCATCAGTGGGATGACTCCACACCCTGCTACACTGACAAGGTAAGGATGTCATCTGTGGGATGACTCCACACCCTGCTACACTGACAAGGTAAGGATGTCATCTGTGGGATGACTCCACACCCTGCTACACTGACAAGGTAAGGATGTCATCTGTGGGATGACTCCACACCCTGCTACACTGAGACAAGGTAAGGATGTCATCTGTGGGATGACTCCACACCCTGCTACACTGACAAGGTAAGGATGTCATCTGTGGGATGACTCCACACCCTGCTACACTGACAAGGTAAGGATGTCATCTGTGGGATGACTCCACACCCTGCTACACTGACAAGGTAAGGATGTCATCTGTGGGATGACTCCACACCCCTGCTACACTGACAAGGTAAGGATGTCATCTGTGGGATGACTCCACACCCTGCTACACTGACAAGGTAAGGATGTCATCTGTGGGATGACTCCACACCCTGCTACACTGACAAGGTAAGGATGTCATCTGTGGGATGACTCCACACCCTACTACACTGACAAGGTAAGGATGTCATCTGTGGGATGACTCCACACCCTGCTACACTGACAAGGTAAGGATGTCATCTGTGGGATGACTCCACACCCTGCTACACTGACAAGGTAAGGATGTCATCTGTGGGATGACTCCACACCCTGCTACACTGACAAGGTAAGGATGTCATCTGTGGGATGACTCCACACCCTGCTACACTGACAAGGTAAGGATGTCATCTGTGGGATGACTCCACACCCTGCTACACTGACAAGGTAAGGATGTCATCTGTGGGATGACTCCACACCCTGCTACACTGACAAGGTAAGGATGTCATCTCTGGGATGACTCCACACCCTGCTACACTGACAAGGTAAGGATGTCATCTGTGGGATGACTCCACACCCTGCTACACTGACAAGGTAAGGATGTCATCTGTGGGATGACTCCACACCCTGCTACACTGACAAGGTAAGGATGTCATCTGTGGGATGACTCCACACACCCTGCTACACTGACAAGGTAAGGATGTCATCTGTGGGATGACTCCACACCCTGCTACACTGACAAGGTAAGGATGTCATCTGTGGGATGACTCCACACCCTGCTACACTGACAAGGTAAGGATGTCATCTGTGGGATGACTCCACACCCCTGCTACACTGACAAGGTAAGGATGTCATCTGTGGGATGACTCCACACCCTGCTACACTGACAAGGTAAGGATGTCATCTGTGGGATGACTCCACACCCTGCTACACTGACAAGGTAAGGATGTCATCTGTGGGATGACTCCACACCCTGCTACACTGACAAGGTAAGGATGTCATCTGTGGGATGACTCCACACCCTGCTACACTGACAAGGTAAGGATGTCATCTGTGGGATGACTCCACACCCCTGCTACACTGACAAGGTAAGGATGTCATCTGTGGGATGACTCCACACCCCTGCTACACTGACAAGGTAAGGATGTCATCTGTGGGATGACTCCACACACCCTGCTACACTGACAAGGTAAGGATGTCATCTGTGGGATGACTCCACACCCTGCTACACTGACAAGGTAAGGATGTCATCTGTGGGATGACTCCACACCCTGCTACACTGACAAGGTAAGGATGTCATCTGTGGGATGACTCCACACCCTGCTACACTGACAAGGTAAGGATGTCATCTGTGGGATGACTCCACACCCTGCTACACTGACAAGGTAAGGATGTCATCTGTGGGATGACTCCACACCCTGCTACACTGACAAGGTAAGGATGTCATCTGTGGGATGACTCCACACCCTGCTACACTGACAAGGTAAGGATGTCATCTGTGGGATGACTCCACACCCTGCTACACTGACAAGGTAAGGATGTCATCTGTGGGATGACTCCACACCCTGCTACACTGACAAGGTAAGGATGTCATCTGTGGGATGACTCCACACCCTGCTACACTGACAAGGTAAGGATGTCATCTGTGGGATGACTCCACACCCTGCTACACTGACAAGGTAAGGATGTCATCTGTGGGATGACTCCACACCCTGCTACACTGACAAGGTAAGGATGTCATCTGTGGGATGACTCCACACCCTGCTACACTGACAAGGTAAGGATGTCATCTGTGGGATGACTCCACACCCTGCTACACTGACAAGGTAAGGATGTCATCTGTGGGATGACTCCACACCCTGCTACACTGACAAGGTAAGGATGTCATCTGTGGGATGACTCCACACACCTGCTACACTGACAAGGTAACTCCACACCATGTCATCTGTGGGATGACTCCACACCCTGCTACACTGACAAGGTAAGGATGTCATCTGTGGGGTGACTCCACACCCTGCTACACTGACAAGGTAAGGATGTCATCTGTGGGATGACTCCACACCCTGCTACACTGACAAGGTAAGGATGTCATCTGTGGGATGACTCCACACACCTGCTACACTGACAAGGTAAGGATGTCATCTGTGGGATGACTCCACACCCTGCTACACTGACAAGGTAAGGATGTCATCTGTGGGATGACTCCACACCCTGCTACACTGACAAGGTAAGGATGTCATCTGTGGGATGACTCCACACACCTTGCTACACTGACAAGGTAAGGATGTCATCTGTGGGATGACTCCACACCTCTGCTTACCCTGCTACACTGACAAGGTAAGGATGTCATCTGTGGGATGACTCCACACCTGCTGCTACACTGACAAGGTAAGGATGTCATCTGTGGGATGACTCCACACCCTGCTACACTGACAAGGTAAGGATGTCATCTGTGGGATGACTCCACACCCTGCTACACTGACAAGGTAAGGATGTCATCTGTGGGATGACTCCACACACCTTGCTACACTGACAAGGTAAGGATGTCATCTGTGGGATGACTCCACACCCTGCTACACTGACAAGGTAAGGATGTCATCTGTGGGATGACTCCACACACCCTGCTACACTGACAAGGTAAGGATGTCATCTGTGGGATGACTCCACACACCTGCTACACTGACAAGGTAAGGATGTCATCTGTGGGATGACTCCACACCCTGCTACACTGACAAGGTAAGGATGTCATCTGTGGGATGACTCCACACCCTGCTACACTGACAAGGTAAGGATGTCATCAGTGGGATGACTCCACACCCTGCTACACTGACAAGGTAAGGATGTCATCTGTGGGATGACTCCACACACCTGCTACACTGACAAGGTAAGGATGTCATCAGTGGGATGACTCCACACACCTGCTACACTGACAAGGTAAGGATGTCATCAGTGGGATGACTCCATGCCCTGCTACACTGACAAGGTAAGGATGTCATCTGGGGATGACTCCACACCCCTGCTACACTGACAAGGTAAGGATGTCATCTGTGGGATGACTCCACACCTGCTACACTGACAAGGTAAGGATGTCATCTGTGGGATGACTCCACACCCTGCTACACTGACAAGGTAAGGATGTCATCAGTGGGATGACTCCACACACCTGCTACACTGACAAGGTAAGGATGTCATCTGTGGGATGACTCCATGCCCTGCTACACTGACAAGGTAAGGATGTCATCTGTGGGATGACTCCACACACCCTGCTACACTGACAAGGTAAGGATGTCATCAGTGGGATGACTCCACACACCTTGCTACACTGACAAGGTAAGGATGTCATCTGTGGGATGACTCCACACACCCTGCTACACTGACAAGGTAAGGATGTCATCAGTGGGATGACTCCACACCCTGCTACACTGACAAGGTAAGGATGTCATCAGTGGGATGACTCCATGCCCTGCTACACTGACAAGGTAAGGATGTCATCTGTGGGATGACTCCACACACCCTGCTACACTGACAAGGTAAGGATGTCATCTGTGGGATGACTCCACACCCCTGCTACACTGACAAGGTAAGGATGTCATCTGTGGGATGACTCCACACCCTGCTGCTACACTGACAAGGTAAGGATGTCATCTGTGGGATGACTCCACACCCTGCTACACTGACAAGGTAAGGATGTCATCTGTGGGATGACTCCACACCCTGCTACACTGACAAGGTAAGGATGTCATCAGTGGGATGACTCCACACACCTTGCTACACTGACAAGGTAAGGATGTCATCTGTGGGATGACT